GCGCAGAGGAAGCTGAGCAGGAAGAGCTCAGGTGAGTATGCTTCTTCGCTGCCCGCTGCCAGCCTTGGGGGGGCTCAAAAGTGGCCAGCCGGTCAGCTCTTGAGCCCCCCAGGATGCGAGGCAAGCAAGGGATCTGCCTGGGGTTTGGAGGGATGCTTTTTTTTGCCGCCCCCTGCAAAGTGGCGCCCAAGGCAGATGCCTTGTTTCACTCGTGATACACACGTCCCCGGTGCCTGTGTGTGTTACTGTATTCAGGCAACTTGGTGGGAGGTGGGGGGGGCGCCGTGAAGACTTTTTGCACAGGGCGCCTAATTGCCTAAGGCCGGCCCTGCTCCCTGAAATAAGGTTTTGCATGTTAGGATGACAGGGGAAATAACTGCAAACTTTTTTTCATTCTTGTATCCCACCATAGAGTGGCTACATAGGAGCTTCCCACAGTACTGGATAGCTGCTGAAAATGTGGGAATGGGGCATACATCAGGCATATTTGGTAGGAGTGTCCCATGATTAAACCATACTGGCAAATGGTCAAGATGGTTCTGACTGATGTTTTTAAGAGCCAACCCACACTGGAGTTTTAAACAGTGTTGCTACATAAATTCCCTTTACCCATATCAGACTATAAGATATAAGTAATGAGACACATGCAAAATGCAGCTTAGTCCCTTTTGCCTGTCCTCTGGAAAAGACTCAATGTACCAAACAAGGAGTTATGGTTCATGAGGAGAGAAAATTAAGGCTGCAGAAGCTATGAAGGCCTGAATACAGAAGCGAAGTATGTGGAAGTATCCATGAGATGCTCTCATTTCCCACCATATGTGAGCACGGGAGGGGAAAAAGGGGAGGGGAAGTTGACTCTCTGGCTTGAGAGGAGAAAGGCGGCAGAACAGGATAGTATATACAAATCTAGATCATACATGGTATATAACACCCCCTTCAAACTCTTCTTCCTGAATTTGATACTATGAGAACGAATGTGGAGAGGTCGGTGGCCTAAGCGGGGACCAGGGTTAGCACAGCATACGGGGATGAAGAGTGCTCAGGGAAGACTCATAGGTACTGAGAGCAAGATACAGGATGCAGTTAGGGGAAAACACCCATGTTTCTTATTTTAATGTATCTCATTGTTAATTTTCTATTGAAACAAGAAATTCTACATTTTATATAATGTCAATTCTCAATTTAGTGAGCAACCCCAATCTCTTGTAACGTTATCATTAATATTAGGGGAAGGAAACAAGTCAATATCAGTGCCATTTTGTCTTCAACAATATTTATTCTCTCCTTTGGATTGTTAAAGTGGAAGTAAATAATCCTCTACTTCAGTTGAATTTAAGATGATTATATCACTGCTTGAAAGTTATACGCCAAAAATATCATCAAAGAATTTATGCAATGGACCAAACATGAAGTTTTTTTTAATGATTTTCTTAAAAGCCAGCCCTGTGAACCGAGAAGAGATTGCAAGGGAGGTAGGGGGCTTTGAAGTTTCCCTTTGCAGGCGCACCCCTAGCGCTACTTGCAAAGATAAAAGCTTAATATGCTTGTTACCAGCACACAGTGTGCGTTGATGACAAATATAATTTTTGCACAGACCGCATATTAGACAGTCTAGAACAGAGTTCCAGGCTGCCTAAGTAACGTGTGACAGGTGTTGTTCTGTATGTGCAGTGTTACACCAATGAACCCACACTACATCTGGGTTGTGTCAGAGCCTTTTCTGAATTTGTAGCATTATAGTGCTGAGGAGTAGTAACATTATGTTATGATAGCATATTAGGCTGGCATTTTTTTACATAGGGTACTGAAGTAATCCACTCTACTCATTTTTAAAATTTGCTTCCGTAATGGAGTATATCTAACATGGTTGTGACAAACTCCCCATCCCATGTGAGTTTGCCACGAGCTCTTGGAGGAGCCTGCTTGCCAGCCTCCTGGCCCACAGACTATGGGCCCTGTAATATGCACTGTAAAAGTCTCAGTTCGTGTATTTGGACTATATGGTTCGGGAATTGAACAGCCGCATGAACCAGGGACCACCCGGGAGCTTGTTAAGAATAATTGCTACTTTGTAGCAATTTCCACCACAGTGTTCTAAGTGTTCATCTGGGTGGGCACATTTCCTATGGACGACTACGAGGTGGCGGCCATATTTTCGCACGGACGCAGGCAGTGGTGTTTGGTCGTCGAAACGGACCCAAAAACTCCCGAAAACCGCTGGACTTCCAGAATCGATCGGTCAGATTAAGAGTTACAGGAAATTCCCGAACCCCTGAACCGATCTGGGTGATTTTTTGGATATCAGGGGATGTAACTTTTGGGGTGGGGGGGTTTATCTTTTTTAAAGGTATTTTTGGGATGTCTGTGAATTGTGTTTATTTTGTGTCCGGAGATAATTGAGTTAGTTGGTTATTTGACATCCCATGCCAAAACATTTCAAATACAAAGCAACACTTTAAGCAACATAAATAATACATTTCATTGTAGCACTCATCTTACCAATTAAAAAAAAAAAGTTTACCTGTGATTAAGGAAGTAAATAACGACTATAGATATATGTTGCTATAGCAATAATTATGTGTCAATTTTTATCCTCGAGTTTAAGAATAACCAAATAATATAGTTTGTATTATTACATGCTATTACAATACTATTAAAATAACATACCGCACGATCTCACTATTACAAACCATTTTCTTAATATGTTAATTACTAAAGAAATACTAGATTTCCTTTCATTTATCAATTTTACCAGCATTTTAACCCTTTAACGATAAATGATGTGCAAAGATCATCACAATGAAATTTAATTTTACTTTTGCACCTGGATCCGCAATGTTTTTATTTTGAGAAGTGCTGGGGAGAGAAGGGGTTAAAGATCACATTAGTAGTATCAGCAGCAGCTGTAACTTAACTAGTTTCAAAGTGTCATGCAGTAACTCTACACACCCAGAGATTTCCTTTTAACAGTTGACAAGTCATGACCAGGTTAAATCAATTGACCTAATCATGACAACTAAAGAACAGCAGGTGAAAATTTAAATTACTTCCCAGCATATTCCTAATAGAACAGCTTACTTTGACTGTTTTGTCTCAACCGATCTCCGTGCCTCAAGATCACTACTGCTATACTGCTATACTGCTAAGCTGCACATACATGTCAGGACTTATACTGCAATTTAGCAAGAAACCTTATAACAGGACTGAGGAGATCATTCCTTTTAACCTGCAGATTAGTGAAATGATAGCCTAATCCCATTGGGAGATTGTGGGGGTGCTGCCGGAATTAGAACTTTAATCTACGTTTTCAGCAAAAATTCTAGTAAAATAAAATAAGTGGTTGGTGAACAATGGTAAATGGCAGGTTATTTACAAAAGTGAGAATTTCAAGTTAATTCAAGCCGAGCTGGAAGCATAGCAGATTTAGAGAATGTTTTCCGTTTGGCTATGTTGACTTTAAGTTTTAAATTCACTTTAAATTCACTTGTAATTCTCCTTTTAGCATAACCCTCTACGTGACGGACTGCCTGGAATCCTGACTGGGTGTCTCCGCCAACTGCTACTTCCTAGCTGTTTCTGAGTACTATAAGCACCGCACTGGACACCATAAGCACTGTAGCCCCTTCTATTCCATTCTGTGCTTTCACAAAATACCCAACTGTAGTGAATTGAAAAATGAATTCTAAAATTGTTTAACCAAGAAAAATGTTTGCCTTCGAAAAATTCAGCTGTAGTCACAATTTGGAAATTCTAACCTTCATTTTTCAGATTCAGTTTTCAATTCACTGCAATTTGGTGTTGAGTGAAGAAACCCCAGTATTACAGCAATATTCTCTATTGCTGTGCAACATTCACATCTTGTTAAGACTTACAGGATTATTAACTTAAGTGACAATTTAAAGTGAATTTCAATTTTTTTTTCCAATTTGACAATTTTTATTGGTTTGTATAGTAGGAGGGGTACAGAAAGGAAAGAGGGGGTGGGGAGAATGATGTCAGCTCTAGAATGTAAGCTCATTGAGCAGGGCTCTCCACCTCTCTGTTCCTGTACGTCCAGTTGTCTGGTTACAATTACATGTCTGTTAGTCCACCCATTGTACAGCGCTATGGAATCTGATGGCGCTATATAAATAATAAAATAATAATAATTATCACAGAACATATACTCGTACAAGGTAGGCAATAGATAAAGATACATTTTATATTCCGTGCATACAAGGACGTTGTCCCGGCATCTGGTACCACAGTCTGTCCAACACTATATACAGGTGCATCGTAAAAGTGGCACAATCCCATAAAGAGAGCTATACCCATTGTACCTCTCGCTCCATCCTGACGTTTAGTTGCCATGACATTTTATTTGGTACGCGATCTCCACGAGTCCCACATATCCCATGTTTTTATGGAGGTTTGAATAGGAGGGAATTGTGTTTTCAAGCCTTTCTCGTATGAGTTCTGTGTATCCAGTTAAGTGAGTAATTTTCGGAGGAGGTGTTGTCTTCTTCCAATTTTGAGCAACTAACATCTGTGCTGTCAGTACAATGTGCATCAATAATTTTAGTTTGGCTCTAGGCAGGCAGGTCAATTAGTAAAAGCTGTAAGCTGTAGGGGTGGTAGTGGGATGATGCATCCAGTTGCTGCTTGTGCTATGTCGAGAACACCTGCCCAGAAGGTTGGAATGTGTGGACATGACCACTATATATGCAGGACAGTACCCTCTGCATTATTACATCTCCAGCATGTGGCGGGGGCGTTGGGGTATAGTTTGTGCAGTCTACAGGTAATTGAAAGATGTGGTCCCACGTTTTGTCTGGGATGGAGCATTCTAAATCAGATTCCCGTTGCTGTGCTAGTTTTGAAGCAGAAAAAGGCACATGGTGTGATATTAACTGGTAGCTCGTGGAGATCAGTTTACAAGATGTTGGAATTGACCTAGTGATACATATTTTTTCGCATGCTGTGGGGGTGTTAGATGGAATAGTCATTTTTGATAGAGATGTCATTTTTGTGGTATTGTCTGGCCAAAAACAATTTCAATTGGATGTAAAAGTACTGGGTTGCCCTGGGCAAGGAGTATCTCCTCTCCAATAAATCATAGCTCAGTAGGGTGCCTTGACAGTAGAGGTGTTTTAAGTGGGTGGCTCCCCTGGAGTGCCAAGGGATGACATTGAATGTGGGAATACAATAAGTGAGAGAAATGAGGGGTGTGGCCTGGGACAAGCCCGAGTGGCCACTTAGCATATATGTGTGTTTATCCCAGACTTTCAGGAGTAGCCGGATTGTAAGGGGGGCCAGGAGGATGTTGGGTCTAGATCATTTCGGTATCCATACCAGATTGGTCAGGGCATGTGGAGCAATGAGCTCCCTTTCTAAGTGCACCCATTGGGGAGGGGAGTTAGAGAGGAAATGTGGGAGGGCAGTAGCCAGGACAGTTGCGCAGTAATCCGTGTGTATGTTGGGCAGTGCTAGGCCTCCACTGTGTCTTGGTGCGTTAAGCAAAGTTTGGGCCACTCTGGATCTGCCACCCCTCCACACAAATTGGTTTATGTCAGCTTGTACTGCTTTAAAGAAGGTCTGGGGAATTTCTAGTGGGAGGTTGCAAAATAAATAGAGCAGTTTGGGGAGGATCGTGATCTTTACCGCTACAATTCGGTGAATTTAAAATTTAAGGTCCAAATAGCCAAACTTGAAACATTTTCTAAATCAGCTCTGCATTCAGGTTGGCCACAATGGAAGATATTTAACCCCTTAAGGACACAATTTCTGAAATAAAAGGTAATCATAACGGAATATTTCCATCATGTGTCCTTAAGAGGTTAAATTCACTTTTGTAAGAGCCAGTTTTCACTTTAGAAAATAACCCCATTAGTTAAAATCCTACCTCCTACACAGCTCTGATATACTGTTTCTGCTGCACTTGTAATATTTTAAAATGAGCCCAGATTGCATGGTCTATTAAGGTTTCCTTATCAATGGCCTTCTGTTTATATATAAACCTAATGCATGAGTTATAAGCTAAACTGACCAACACCTAGTTCAAATAATTGTGTCGATAAATGCCAAAAAATCCAACTATTGCTAGAACGTAAACCGAGTCATTTTTTCAGGAGATGAGTCTTTGTTGACTTGCTACACAAAGTGGAACATGATGAAATCTCAGTTCTGGTTTTGCAGTATTCTACCCGCAAAACTCAGGAACAAGAAACTAGTCCTTCTAATGCATTCTATCTTAGAGAATGGTGACCCACAAACCAGTTCAAAATGTGGTAATTTAAAAAAAATGCCCCTAATTATGAAGACATTTGTGTCTAAATAATGCAGCATATTTAAACACATAGACACACGCACACACTCTGTTTTCTATATGGTTTTAACTAATATGTAATAATATTGTGTCACTAATCCATCAAATTAATTTATATTTAATGTTTTAAATTCTAACTAACACTGCCAAATGAACATCAGTAAATGTAGGTACAGGAGACGCAAATCCATAAACCTTAAAAACAGAGCCCGCACCCGCCCCTTTCTTACACAAGATGCTACTAAGGAGCTTGTCCATGCTCTAGTAATCTCTCGCATGAATTATTGTAACTCTCTCCTAATAGGTCTTCCCACAAGTCGTATTGCCCCGCTAGTCTGTAATGAATGCTGCAGCTAGACTGATTTTTCTCTCCTTTCGCTGCAGCTAGACTGATTCATCTCCCCTCTGTCAGTCCTTACATTGGCTTCCTATATTCTATAGGAGTCAATTCAAGGTACTAATCCAGACCTATAGAGCACTGACCAATTAAAGCTACTCCTATATTTCTTCACTGATCCGCAGGTATGCCCCTTCTCGGTCTCTCTGCTCTGCTCGCAACCGTACAGCCAACTCACGCTTGCAGGACTTCTCGCGGGTGGCTCCTTCCTTTTGGAATAGCCTGCCTACGACCATCAAGCTCTCCCATAGACTTCAATCATTTAAAAAGTGCCTCAAAACTCATCTCTTTAGGAAAGCTTATGGACTCTCAGAGTAACCTCTACCTCACATACCTGTCCCTTGCTCTCTCCTAAAGTGCAGCACTCTGTTCTCTCCTCCAGCTCTGCTTCACTCCACCTTCATTGATTGATTGCTTTCTCCTGTCTTGTTGGGTTTTTCGCCCCACCGATAGACTGTAAGCTCGTTTGAGCAGGGCCCTCTTCAACCTATTGTTCCTGTAAGTTTTTGTAATTATCTCATTTATTGTTAAATCTCCCCCTTTGATAATATTGTAAATCGCTACAGAATATGCTGGCTCTATATAAATACCAGTAATAATAATAATAATACTAATAAAAACATTTTTTCACCTGAATTAAATTTCAGTTATATTGATTACAAACACTAGATGGCAATATTTGTCTTTCAAAACATCATCATGTGAACTATGAAAGGGTTTTAGAAATGTAACTATGAAACTTTCACAGAATTATTTTATTTAATTGAGATTATATGTTGACATGCATTCACTAATCACTATTTATGGAAGAAATGAATTTGTGGACAAAGTGACCAAACTGTAAAAATACTTTAGTTGAAGGATTGCTCAAAACAAAAAGATACATTAAATACTGTTTTTTGTTAAAATAACCTTTATTGTGCTGATCCACTCTCACAATAAAAAATAAAATAAACTAATGCTAAAACTTACCGTTGTTCCAGTGCAGCCAGATCCTCATCCATTGATGTCACTCCCCCTGAAGGGAGACAGATATCAATGAGGACAATCTGAAAGGAGAACTTGAGCGGCCGGCAGTGGGGTGAGCTGTCTGCTATTGGATACCTGTCGCCAGTAAGCTACATTAAGCTATATGGTTCTGGTGCTTAAAGTGTCCCTTTAAAATAATCTAGCGCATCTCTTGGCTGGCTGGTTTCCTAAAGCCAGAACAAATAATATACAAAACAGGATGGACTTGTGGGCCCTTCAACTAACGTTTATTAACCATGTAAAAATCACATCTAGTCTTCAATGTTTTAGCACCTAATGCCAATCTTATCATAAATAAAGTACGTTATTTATTAAGTAGAATAATCCCTTAGTCTTCTAAGAAAATCCAGACAAAATACTCTACCGTTTGTAGGGGAGTCCCCCCTACCATAGTCAGAAAAATAAAATACTTATCTGCCCTTTTAAAAACAATATATAATATGTATGGTTGTACTTTAAAATAAAGTATTAAATTATGGAGGAAGGAACACATAACAGAAAAAGGTCTGTAAAGATTTGTACAGGTGGTACTTAACACCATCCCATCTCCAGAAAATGTACTCAGCTTCGTCGAATCTCTGTTGGCGTGGTTGGGGACACATAGGCACGTACTCTCATATGTGGTGGCAATGACCACGTATTCAGATATTTTGAAAGAGTGTACATGCTGCAGTCCAAGATATTGTTCCCTCCGTTGAGAATTTATCACCACAATTGTGTCTATTCATGATTAAAGATGTGATGACTTTACTAAAGTTGATAGAATACTAGTAGGCCATGTTTTAATCGCGGCTAAAATAGTTGTACCTAGATATTGGAAATCGACTATGATTCCAGTTACTAAAGATGTTTTATCCCTGGTTCTGGAACATAAAAGGTAAGAGTTTACCATCTTGCTGAACTGATTCACTGAAGTACCATTGAAACATTTAGGAGGAAACGCAAACATTCTATATAATTTAAATTCCATTTATTTTTTAGTATTTCTGTTTATTTTCCTCACCCAGATGCGTCCATATTTCTAGTACATATTATTAATTAGCAACCCATGTAAACTGTTTTGTTTTACAATATTTTGATACACCTTTTTTATAGCAGTATATTGCCTATTCTAATGATGTTATTGCCAATCCCATTATCCCATAACAATATCTTATTATTATTTTATTGATTTTTTTTCTTGTTTATTTTCTTGGTTAAAATTGCAAAACTATTCAATAAAAAACATGAGAAGTAAAAGGTCTCAAATCCAAACACATGATATAAGATATATATTATGTTATACATCATTTTGTATTTCACACTGGAGTAAAGTGAGATCAGAAGGGAAAGCTTCAGTTAAACAACCATATTCTGTTAACTGAACAATATAGGCATCCAGACCACTTCAACTTATTGAAGTGGTCTGGGTACAGTGTTCATATTGCACTTAGTGCTTCAATGTAAAACATTGTAGTTTACATTGCAGCACTGAGTCTGCCTCAAGTAGCTATTGGCCAGACAGCCACTGGAGGCACTTCCTGGCTGTTAACAGACACGAATCCAGCAACAGCTATTTCCCTGGGTGGGATGCGTCCTTGCGAACTGACCTGTATGCAAAGTCTACTGATTCCAATAGCATGCTACATATGACCAGTTTCCATTCCCCTAAATAAATATGTTCTATCCCGTACAGCCAGTTCCTGAGGGTTCGCTGTATTGTTAGTGATGACAGCATAATCAATGAACGACTGACAGATATGTCCCAGAAATTTCTAGATAAAGGGTATAGCACTCGGCAGCTGCCAAAGGCTAAACGTAAAGTTCTGGATATGAACCGTGAGGAATTACTCTCGACAATAGACAGACCCACACAGGACAGAAATCCATTTGTAAGTACTTTTTCATCACTTACACCACAAATACAAAAAATTATACGCAACAACTGGTTTATACTGCAAACTGACAAACACACAGGACACCTGTTTAAAAATCCTTCATTATTTGCCAACAAACGGGGGCGATACATAAGAGACATGGTGGTTAGGGCAGACTCATTGACAAACAGGAAACAGACATTTCTTTCTAAACCGGTACATGGAACCTACCCCTGCCTAAGCTGCAATCATTGCAGTGGAATAATTAACTGAGAATTTTGTACCCATCCAAGGACTGGACAAAAGATTAGACTTAAAGGGTTCTTTACATGCCAGATGGATTTTGTAGTGTATTTTCTCAAGTGCCCACTGGGATACGTGGGTAAAACAATACATGCTCTGAAAGAACGTGTGTCTCAACATAAGACCACGATTCGCAGCCTTACTTCTGATGCTCCAGTTGCACGACATTTTAGAGAGAAGAGGCATAATGCCTCCCACTTACGTTACCAGGTACTTGAAAGGGTTCCTCCACTCACTAGAGGAGGCAATAGGGAAAATTTACTATTATAAAAAGAAACTCGTTGGATGCACCTGCTTGATACAGTGTCCCCTCATGGTCTTAATGAGAAGCTTGAGTGGCACTGGTCCCTGCAGGTGTATCCTGTGTATGTGCCCGTCAGGATAGAATTCCTGGATCGGGGTATGTATTCCTATATTTTGTACCAGTAGCTATCACTACTCTCATTCCATCCAGTCTACTATCATTATATAGTTCCATCTTTATTGGCTTGCTGTACACCCTCACTCTCTGGAGAGGGTGTCTGATTCATGTATTATCTAATTTGATTGCTTTTCTTTTTTCCCTTTTCCTTGTATTGGGATTTGGTTTCATTTCACTGCACTATAAGGTACATCTTCTGGGTGGCTGTTAAATGCTCATGAGTCTTCTCTGCTAACTTTGCTTCTTTATATACACCCTGTTCCAAATGATTATGCAAATTATATTTTTCTCATTTACCTAAATAATTGATGTAAATAACAGTCAGCATAATTCTCATGTTATCAACTATTAAGAGTACAATTCAAATTTTATTGAACAAACCTCCTAATGATAACAGTATTTTTTTTAAACATAAAAACTTACAATGCACTGTTCCAAATTATTACACACAGTAAGTTTCAAAACACTTTATAGGTTGTAAAGAACTGAATATTGTCATTTGTTGTGTTTTCAGCATATTTACTGAAATCAAAAGCTATTTCAATCAAACTTATAACAACATTTTAACTTTTTAAATATTTTAACAGGTCACGTTACATTTTAACATAGGACCCCTTATTTGATAGCAGCTTCACAAGTCTTGCATCCATTGAACTTGTGAGTTTTTGGACAGTTTCTGCTTGAATTTGTTTGCAAGATGTCAGAACAGCCTCCCAGAGCTGATGTTTGGATGTAAACTGCCTCCCACCCTCATAGATCTTTTGCTTGAGGATGCTCCAAAGGTTCTCAATAGGATTGAGGTCAGGGGAGGCCACACCATGACTTTCTCTCCTTTTATCCCCATAGCAGCCATTGATGCAGAGGTATTCTTTGCAGCATGAGATGATGCATTGTCATGCATGAAGACGATTTTATTACGGAAAGCATAGTTCTTCCTTCTGTACCAGGTAAGAAAGTGGTCAGTCAGAAACTCCACATACTTTGCAGAGGTCATCTTTACACCTTCGGGGACCCTAAAGGGGCCAACCAGCTCTCTTCCCATGATTCCGGCCCAAGACATGACTCCACCACCGCCTTGCTGACGTCGCAGCCTTGTTGTAACAGGGTGGCCATCCACCAACCATCCACTTCTCCATCCATCTAGACCATCCAGGGTTGCACGGCACTCATCAGTGAACAGGACTGTTTGAAAATTAGTCTTCATGTATTTTTCTGCCCAATGCAGCCGTTTCTGCTTGTGAGCATTTGTTAGTGGTGGCCGAATAGAAGGTTTAGGCACAGTTAAAAGACTCTAGATGACTCTACAGCTTGATGTCCCTGGGACTCCAGAGGCACCAGCAGCTTCAAATATCTGTTTGATGCTATGTAATGGTATTTTAGCAGCTGTTCTCTACCGATGCATGGATCTGCCAGAAATCTTCCTCAATGTGCCTTTATCTGCACGAACCCGGCTGTGCTCTTAATCCGCCAAAAATCTCTTAATCATGCGATGATCACGCTTAAGTTATCGTGAAATATCTAATGTTTTCATACCTCGTCCAAGGCATTGAACTATTTCACTCTTTTCGGCAGCAGAGAGATCTTCTTTCTTCCCCATATTGCATGAAAATGGTGCTCTGCTTAATAATGTGTAACACCCTCCTTTAGTAGTTTTTCCTTAAATTGGGGCCACCTGGCAATCTAATTATCACAGGTGTCCGAGATTGTTTTCAGTGATCAAAAGAGCCCTGAGACAATACCATCCATGAGTTAAACTGAAAAACAAAATATTTAATCTTTGTGACACTTAAATAGAATTTGCATAATACTTTGGAACAGGGTGTACACTGTAGTGGATTGTTCTGAGTATTATGTATATTTGCCTAATAGATTGCAGTGTATAGACTCAGTTTCGCTAGCTTTCTGTAAGATTTGAATGATTTTTACAATGTTCTGATACTGTATAAAGTTGGATGTTTGTTTATTTCCGTTTCCTAGCAACGGAATGTGATGACGTCACACGCAACGTGTGTGACGTCTGACGTCATCACGCACGCATTTGCCGATCTAGGAAGTGATGGGAGATACTGAAACTGCCAGTGAGACTTGCTGTACAGCTTTTCGTTTTCTATGTATAATTGATTGGGTAATGTAAACACTCTGCACTTATATATATATTTTCTTTATATCCTGCATACCTTAGGATATTAGCATTAAAAAAGGGCTTGTGCGAGAAACGTCTGCTCTTGTGTACTGTGTCCTCTTAATAAATTGCAGTAGCACTTTGGATGCGCAGGACTTAATTTTTGCTGTGTTGGTTCAGCTATTTCCCTATCGGAAAGCTTTGATTCAATGCTTTCCTGTGGGGACGCCTAATGCACGCACAGCACTTGCCCTCGGAACCGCGACCAAGTGCCAAAGGACTTTGGCGCTGGGATCAGGTAGGTAAATAAAGGGTTTATTTAGCACCACAGTGGGAGAGGGGGAAGGGCGAGGTGCGAGGGAGACAGAGGGAGCTGTAGTGCCAGGAATACAGCTTTGTGTTTCTGGCACTATAGTATCTCTTTAAGCTTAATTCCAAAGGTATCTTGACTACTTGAAAAAAAGATCTTGACTACTGACCGGGGTAACAGCAAGCTCAAGTGACTCCACTGACAACTTCTCTCCTTCAATTTACAGATATGAAGGTTTTGTTTCAGGATACCCACTTTTTTTTTAGCAGCTTTATCATTGGTCAACAGGGACATCTTTCCATTGACGAGCTGCATATTGAATGTGTAGCAGGACATTGCAGACCAACGTGTTAAATACTCAATAGAATAGATTTAGAAATCTCATGTCAGTTGAAATATAAGGCCAGAAGATGCATTGTGATGGCTTAAAAGTTTGAGATGTTCCCGATGACATTGCTGCTAAGGAATCTTCCCTTCCCTTGCTCGTTTGTTACTATTCTAGAGAATACGCAAAGCAGATTAGGTCACATTGATGATCGCAGTGAAGAACAGCTAGTTATATCTATTTAAAAAGAACATGCTAAGCTTTTCACGGGACCTGCTCAGATCTACATGGTGCTATTGTCTTTACCAAATCTCTACTGTGTCCTTTGTGGCAGAGGTTTTGCTTACAGATTTGGCCTTATTTTACAGGTGGAAATGCCTTGAAAACCTCTTATGATCTCAACTTTTCCAATGTTTTTGTATCGTACTTATTTCTACAGATTATAGGACCTATCCAAGTGCCCTCTGCTCTTGCAAGATGTGTATGCATATGGAAGTCACCAACATCCCGTTCTCATTCAAGATGACAACTCCACGTCTGAAGTAACGGTCATCTTCAGCATGCCCTTTTTCATTCTAGATGTTCAATTGTTGTGCAATTTCATATGGTATAGTAAAATTTTTATTACTAATAGAAAAAGGACGGGGCCACACTAGCTGGGGCAGATAACCACCAATTACGTTTCGTTCCTCCTTCTCCTAACATATAACAGGCCAGCTCTACTTCCTATTATTTATACATGTTTTTTGAATCATTTCATACCACGTAATAAAAATGTATTATTATAAAGAACACTGGCCATCAAGCTTAATGTTCTTTTACAAATATTTCTATTGATGACTGAAAAATACTAATTACCAAAAAAAAAGTAATTACCAATTGTGCCTCAAACTGATTTTTTTTTCTAATTTTTCAAATAAGCAGTCAGATTTCTCCCTTTATCATAAGTAATAATGAAAGTACTTTTATATATATATATATATATATATATATATGTATATATATATATATATATATAAAATATTAATTTAAAGCCATCTATTGAATTTAAACGCACAATCTATCATGGCTTTTGCACAGTCCTTTTAATAAAACAGTTTTTACTGACATTATTTGTATTTCCATGATAAATGTTGTAGTCCTTATATGCACAATTTTCTCTCTGTAATGTCATTGTTAAAATATGTCATTCATATTCAAGTTAGAATCTTACCACTGGTTATAAGGCGCAGAGTTAATTTTCAGGATATTTAAAGGGCCATGCATCACATGACAATTATTGATTTAAACATACAAACCAAAATAAAGCAAAAAAACTTTAAAAAGTATGTAAAATGTTTAGAAACTTAATTAATAATCATCTCACACTGAGATGACTGAAGCAATAGTAAATATAGGGATCTAAAGAAAAAGACAATTATATAGAGTGCATATAAAATATACATGCTAATATATTGAGCATCATGCTATTTTCCCTAGAACAGGTAGGAAATATATAATCAACCATGACACGTGCATTCTGTTTTGAGGTATGTAGAGAGGGATCTCTTAAAGGACTTTAGGCTTAGGGAAGATTTTAAAGTGTGCGGGAGGTCGTTCCACAATTGCGGTGCTCTGTAGGAGAAGGAGGATCGGGCCGCTTTCTTTTTGTATTGAGGTAGACTAAGTAAAGTGTTGGCACTGGATCGGAGGTTGTAGGAAGTGGGAAAAGCTGTGGAAAGCAGTTTGTTCAGGTAGGGTGGGAGTTTCCCAGAAAAGCTCTTAAACACAAGGCTGGAAAGATGAAGGGTGCGTCTGGATTCCAGCGACAGCCAGTTTAGTTCTTTTAGCATGTCACAATGGTGAGTCCTGTAATTACATTGTAGCACAAAACGGCAGAACGAGTTATACAATTTGTTGAGTTTATTAATGTGGGATTGCGATGCAGATGCATATACTACATACCCATAATCAATGATTGGCATCAGCATTTGCTGTACAATCTTTTCCTTAAAATACCCCTCTCTGTCTCATTAGAGATATCTTTGCCAGAAGCTCAAGGAAGCAAGGTGAAGGGTCAGTGTAGGACCCGCTTAGGGGGGTCTGCCTTGACGTTGGCAGGCGGACATTCCCTCCAATAGGGATTAAGGAGAGAGTGCAGGTAACTTTTTTCTTTGTTTTTTACTATATATTGGGGCTGATGTGTACTGTGGTTGTTCCTGCCGCCCAGGAGTGATGGGAGTGAGCGCAGGACTTATCTTTTTGTATTTGTAAACACATGGATTATACTGGTTAAATGTTGCATGTATCCATATATACAACACTATGTGTAATGCACTTGAATTTGTGGCTTGACAAAGACACCGTTGATGTCGCAATAAAACCATGAGATAAAATAGCTGTGTGCTGTGGATTATATTGTTGTGACTTACTATCAACTTTGCCAGATGCATTTTAAAGCAGTCTTCATCGCTTGATTTCTTTTTTCCACTTATCGCAGATTATCGTTGGGAACTTTGTTATAGACTTCTCAATTCTATGTTACACTTATTTTGATTTCCATTTCATACATTCTTTTCTATTTAATGGTTTTCTGCTATGTATGTTAATGCTACAATGCTCCTTTTATTTTTAATGACATTTTACTTTACGCCTTTTAAATACATGTATACTTATTGGTATGCATCGTTATTGCGTTTCTTATGCTGAATGTCATTTTCTTCAGTAAACGGTAAGTGATAAAAAAAAAATTGAATTGATGAAAGTATCCAGTTCTACCTTTCACTATATGCAAATTAGTTAACAACATGACTAGTTCAGCTGACAAATTAAAACAAGAAGGAGTGCATAAGAGAATAAAAAGGAGAAGAAGAATAAATGTGAAAAATATGAAACTTAAATAAAGAGCATGACCAATTAAAAAACAAGAGTAAGAGTAAAAACAATGTTCTAGATGTGAAAAAGCAAATCATTGGGTTCTCGGGATCAAAGGTTTCTGCCAGTACTAATTTAAAATCTCTAATATAGGTAATCAGCATCATATAACATCATGTGATAGCTTTGAATTTCCGTCTCCTACCTTAGAAATCAAAACTAACCACGAAGTTGAGATGGTTTACGAAAAACATAGAAGTCATGTGAACAAAAACAAAGAAAAACTTATACATCAACCAAATCGTTGCCCAATATTTCTATTGACTGCAATGAATAACATCAAGAAAGACTGAACAGAGCAATGCAACTGGTGTGAAACTGCAGGGATAGGCAACCTTCGGCACTCCAGATGTTTTGGACTACACCTTCCATGATGCTTTGCCAGCATTATGGGTGTAACAGCATTATGGAGGATGTTGTCCACAACATCTGGAGTGCCGAAGGTTACCTATCCCTGGCATAGGTAATACCCTATCAGGTGAGAACAGATCAAGTAATTCCTAACACATAACATGGAGAATTACTGGTGGGCTAAACATAATTGCTCTAAGTAGCATCTGTTTTTTTTTTTTTTTTAATGTATGTGCTGATCACCATGTGCAATATATGTTATATGACTGCTGCCTTCTTTTTGTACTCCTGACTTTACAAATAAGGAAGATCTACAATAGGAAGATCTACAGTGAAGTCACTGATGGAAGTGTGACTCTAATCAGTCTCAAAAAGCAAGGCAAGGCAGCCCTAGCGACTGTGTGTGTGTCTTTGTGTTTGTAATTTTGTCACATTCTATATCAGATGGAACGGTAGGGAACAGACATTTTATAAAGACAAAATGTAATAGAAAATATACGTTACTGTGAAGTAAGGGTTTGGAGAAAGCATTACCATAATGACACACTGGTTTGTGGTTATGATGGCACATAGATAGTATATGACACTATGAACTCCTAGGTCCACATAGTTACAAACCAAAAAAAAATCAATAGTATTTATAAAATGTTGAATATTAGTAAAAATATGAATGGTAAATATCACTTGAACAGAAATTGTTATACGTATACATTTATGTGTACTTTTAATGTAAAGTCAACCAACAAGCTAAAATAACTTTTAATTATGCAGTAATTAAATGTACTATTTGATTAGTAAATTGCTGCTAGTACTAAATGCAAATAAATTGTAGCCATTTCTTTAATTTCTCGTTTTATTTTTCACTTCCTTAGTGCTTACATCTCTGTGTGTTATGTCTGGATGATATCTGATGGGGTATTACCGTTCCTGGGGTAAACCTGGCGGCGGTATGGTTTTGTTTTTATAATCTGAGTAGGTGCTGTATTTTTTAGATACCATTGATATCAAAAATTGAGCTTTTGACTCCTTTTGTACTATGCTGTGGATGCCGATGCTAAACCCTAGACTATAACCTCCAATGGCTGTGCATACAAGTATTTAAATCACAGATGATGAACTTGCTTACTGACTACTGGATTTATGGATGAATGCACTTCACACACTGGTTGTTTGGTTCTTATCTACACCTACAGAAGCTAAAGTGGATGTAAAGAGAACACTGCACTTTAATGAAGATTAAAATCTGCTTGCACGGGTAAAATAGAAGATTGAGATGCAGCCCTAATCAGCAGCCGCTTGCTAAAAGTGCAGTCCGGCGGTATGCCAATCAGGATATGGTTTGTTAGTCAAATAAACAAATGCTTGAATGGGGGCAACCTTCAGATATAGCTGCTGAATGATGTATGACCACCAAAGGAAGAAAACATCATTTTGTCTGTGATTTTACTAGACAAGTGTTACAGGTCAACACACACAGTCAGCAATTAGCTGATAAATACTAATTAGCATACAAAAGTATAGCTTGCTCTCTGACTTCCTAAAGAAAACAGATATGTAATTGGAATGTATAGAGACAATGTTGGAAACAATACTGGGAAGAACGAAAAACAAAAAGTACTGATTAAGAAATTAAGAATGTGTTTATACATAAATACTCCATAGCCATGATATTCAATTGTTGTTTGAATAGTAAATAATATATAATAGTATGTAGCAGGATTTACAATAGATATTCATAGGAAATTGATACCATTTGCTTATCACCGTCTTCTGATTGTTCATTGAATATATCTTACCAGCACTGAATCACCTCAAGCAGTTCTCCATTGAGGTAGGGCTCGGGACTGGAGTAGATAACATGGCACTTATTTTGGGTAGTTGAAAGTAAAATAAACTCTGGAAGCCAGACACTGATTAAATGAAGAAAAACTAGTTATCCCAAATCCCTATACATATTTAAATAACTGGAGGTTTTATCTCCGATTAAATGAGATGACTTCAAGACATGGATTCCCAAAATATAATGTAGAGAAAGAAAATAGACAATGAGGCTAGTGGAACAAAAAGGGACTGGAAGAGTACATTTTAACCAGTCATCTTGTAACATAAGCTCTACCCAGAGTGTTTCTCAATTTTTGTTGAAGAAGACGTCTGATACATGCTGGTGTTGGTGGTGGCTGCAAAGCTGCTTGGTCAGGCCAGGATTTATTATCAATGGTCTAAGACAGCTTCTTTATGGTCAGGTCTCCTGAAATTTTTTTTAAACCAATAATAATAATTATTATTATTATTATCGCCATTTATATAGAGTCAACAGATTCCGTAGCGCTTTACAATATTATAAGAGGGGGAATTTAACTATAAATAGGATAATTACAAGAAGACTTACAGGAATGATAAGTTTAAGAGTGTCAGGATTACAGTATGATCCAGCACGTAGAATTGTGTAACACAGAGGACTGATAGGTAACGTATACCGGACCTTAGAATGGCTGGACTAACGTACCAAAGAATAGTAAGGAAAAGCTGAGGTCAAGGGATACAGAAAGAGACACAACGATAAGGAAAAGCCAGGGGTTAGGGATGCCAGAAAACAGGGAAGTCAAAAACAATGCCAAAGTGAAATAACCAGAATTACCAGAATGAATAACACGCTCTCGGACAACCACAAGGGAAACCACGACAGGGCACTGAGCAGGATGAGAACTGGGCCTAAATACCCCTCCTCTGAATCTGATAGGGTGTAATCGGCCTTTGACCCCAAAGGCAGTTATCAGGTTCCCATTTGCATAATTGCCTCTCAACACAAACCCTGCTGTGGATTTGATTGCTGCTCAGCACAACTTTTCCTGTCTGAACCGTAAATTCCAATAATCACATTTTAATAAGCGGATGAATATGTGACAAAGAGGACCCTGCTCAAGTGAGCTTACAGTCTATAGTAATAAATGGTGTAGCACTGGTATACCTGCCCCTGCTTTCATATCTTCTTATGTTAGAAACTATGTTATTAGAGTTGGATTACTAGAAAAACAAAATATAATAAAACACGAAAATCATTGTCACAATCAAGTCAAGAAATAGAAAAACATTTTCTCTAATTGTATGTTCCACAGACTGGTTGCAGAACAGTAACGTAAGGTGAATATTGCCATGTTAATATTAGAGAACCTTACAAAAGTTATATTTACTCCGCAGGTCAGTATTCATTTTTATTCACCCTTTCAATGTAAAAAGGAAAATGTGGCTAAGTAAAGGAGTCCTTAACTCAATATTAGCCACAATATATGGTATGGTACACAGTAGATGGTACAGGCTGTGTAGTTCCCTCACCTATGTTTTCTCTGATTCCATTTTAATTAAAAAAAATTTTACGGTTGAGAAAAGGATTGTTGTGACGTGATTTTTTTCTGCTGTTTCTGGATGTGAGATGTGATTGACTTACACATATAACATTCTATTCATTTGTCTATTCATTTCTCAGACAGGCCCACTTTAAAGGACCACTATAGTGCCAGGAAAACTAGTGCCTAGGTCCCCCCCACACTCAGGGTCCCTTTCCCGCTGGGCTGAATGGGGCTAAAGGGGTTAAAATTCTCCTCCTCCGGCCGACGTCAGATCCGAATGCGCATACGCAGTAAGAGCCGAGCGCACATTCAAACCGCCCATAGGAAAGCATTACTCAATGCTTTCCTATGGACGTCAGTGTCTTCTCACTGTGATTTTCCCAGTGAGAAGCGCGGAAGTGCCTCTAGCGGCTGTCAGTGAGACAGCCACTAGATGCTGGATTAACCCTAGTGTAAACATGGCAGTTTCTCTGAAGCTGCTATGTTTACAGCTGCAGGGTTAACACTAGAGGGACCTGGCACCCAGACCACTTCATTGGTCCTTTAAGAGCGAGATGACCTATGGAAGCTATTTATTTATTTATTTTTCAAATAGTTTTTATTAACAGGTTTTTATAGAACAATACAATATTGGAATAAAATTGAATCTTAACAGTTATAGTATAGGGTAAAAACAAGGGAAGGGGGAAAAATTAATTTAAAGGAGGAAACAAGAGATGTATTCCATCCTTATGTATCAAAATTGGAAATGACAGGTGTTTACAGTCATGATGTATAATACAGAGTACACTGAAGTAGTTAAAAAGAAAATTAAATAGTTACCATATAAATGGTTTTGCAGGGTGTGTTTTAATTATATCCAATATAGTAATCTCACACTCTCGGATATATATATCAGGAAAAAAAGATAAACTGTACTTTGATATATACATCTATATACTTGCTGCATCCCTACCGATTATCCAACTCCAACATGCCAAACACACTCATTTTCAACCCTTTTTTGTTTTTGTGTTTACTGTATAAGATGCTCTCTCCCCTGGTCAGAACATAACTGACAAAATAAGTGAAAACACCAATAAAATTCAACTCAATTTTTTCAATGCAAGTGTTTTATTGCAGGAGCAAAGAGAGATGACTGCACACTGACTAGATAATTTTTCTGAATAACACTGTGATGTTGTCATGGGTAGGGAAGGGCAAATACTTGTGAAATTCCATTTGAAATGCGAATATCTGCTAAATAAATGTTAACTACTAAATGTTACGCAATGTATGCACTGAAAGGTTAGGCATGTCAAAGCTGATGAGATAGTGTAAGTGTAGTTAAGTTGCTAAGTGCAGAAATTGTTTAAATATCAGTCTCTTGGGCAGAGGAACAGAGGTGGAATCTTAGGCAAAACTCAAATATGAGGTTCCATAGTAAATGTACCCTGCCCAGCCCCATAATCCCCTCAACATTCTGTCCCTCCTCATAGTTCCAATTACATTTCCATAGCAACATAATCCATTCATCAACCCCTGGCACACACAATCCTCAACATCACCCCCAGCCAATATACTGCACTCCATCCTTATAATGCCATTTACACAAATCCCACCAATCACATCCACTCCATAATCCCCTAATCACTTCAAACCCGATATTCTGCTAAATCACCTGGTAGTCTTGTAATTCATCTCCCTGTGCTGTTTGTGAGGCAGAAAATGGGAAGAAGGGGTCAGGTAATGATGGCACATCCCTGCTTGCTTCCATACTACTTTCTCATACCCAGCACTGTAATGGTGCAGTGATAAACATGAAAGACAAAGTGTACCTGTTATCTACCTGTTACTGATCCGTCGTGGTACCACATGATAATGGAACTGCTTGTTATGGTGTACATACCAATATACTGAGGGGAAGCCCACCAGCTTTTAGAATTCCCTATTGGTCTCCCCATGAGTGTGTGCATTAGTAAACATTTTAAATATATTAGTTACCAGTTGCTGGGTCCCAAATCCTGGGTCCAGCTCTGGTCTCAGTTTCTGTTTTAACTAGTGTCAGATTTTCCACCCTGAGGGCAATAAAATTAGTATAATTATATATTGCGATAACATCAACTGCCTATTTTGTTAAATATGATATTGTGGTTGGGGCCCCTTTATCCATCTCATATTGTATAGTACTTTACTTTTTATAAAAGGCAACCATAGTGTAGATACACGTAAACTAATGGCACTCGACTTCTTCGCACTAAATCCATCTCTAATAATAAGCACAAGGCTTATTAAAATTGGCTAATTATAAACCAAGATACTCAAGGTCAAAACTAGAGCTGCACCCTGTACATTAACTATTGAAATCAAATCATATTGATTATAGCTTTCTCATCCGAAATAGGGTTATCTTCTATTTCCAAACTTCATATGAGGATGGAATTAAAAATAGAGAGAAAGAAAAATAAATAAGTATAGGCAATGTTTTTAACATCTGTAAAGACATAGCAAAAATGCTGTTTTCGCCTTTGTAGCATCTGTAGGAAATAGCACAGCAAACTGGTCATCTCTCACTGGACTGCAATACAGCAAATTGAGATGGTTAGTAACTGAAGGACAAAGGGGATTTTAATAAACTGCAGTATCAGTGTCCTCATATGTACAGGCAGAGATTATTTTTATTCTGTTTACAGTAAACATGCACAGTTTTTGATCACTAGGGGTTTTTAACAAATTATGATAAGTGTTTTTCAGCATGCTTGAAGAAGAATTCATTCTTGTGAAGGACTGAGATGGAACTTTGGGAAGATGGAAAATAATTGCACATGAATTCAATTTTTTACAAGACTGATGGGATTCCAAATGTGCCAAAAAAGAACTCGCTGTGGAAAAAGAGAGGATTAACAATTTGGAATGTACTTTTAATACGGCTTTATTACACCGCATTGCATAATTTGTACTTCAGGAATTAGAAATGGAAGGTTTAACTCTTTCAATTACAAATTCTTTTTTGTGGCCAAAAAAAAAAAATACATATAATATTTATTTAAAACAAGGAAATTATAGTTAGTGTATAGTATACATGTAGCTAAAACAGCTATTTCATTTATAGATTTTCAGGGATACCTAATATAATAAAAACTATATCAATTGACTGCATTTATTTGATTTATCCACTCTTCTCAGAAACATTAGGAAGATAAAAAGTTTTATAGATTGTATGATATTTTGGTACTTGTTTAATATACACTCACAACTGGTTTGTGTTTATTTGTAAAACAATACTAGGAGAGAGCATATCTCTAAATGTAAAATATGTTTTTATGGTTTAAAGGTGTCTAGCGTTAAGGCAATCTCTATAAAATCTCTAACCTTAAACATACCCTATCCCTTCATGTCCTCCCGCCCAACCCAAATGGTTGTGGCATAAGCTTAGTTTTATTAATAAATCAAAGTGGGAAGTTTAGTAATGCAATGCCCTTTTCCCCACTGTGTTAAGAAAATGATTTGAGATAGTACCAGGGACTTTATAGACTAGTACTCGTATTATTTATCAGCAGAAATACCAATTGTGAAGATATTTTGCACAAGGCGCCAAAGGACTAAGGCCAGCCTTGACTACTGCAAACTTTCTATATATCTTGTAGGAGAAAATATATTTATTATTTAAGCACATT